TAGTACCTTACCTGTTAGTGTACCTTTAGTACACCTAGTACCTGCTTAGTTACACCTGTTAATTGCTGTACCTGTTAGTGCACCTGTTAGTGTACCTGTACCTGTTAGTGTACCTGCCTGTTAGTGTACCTGTACCTGTTAGTGTACACCTCCTGTGTGTACCTGTACCTGTTAGTGTACCTGTACCTGTTAGTGTACCCCTGTTAGTGTACCTGTACCTGTTAGTATCCTGTACCTGTTAGTGTACCTGTACCTGTTAGTGTACCTGTACCTGTTAGTGTACCTGTTAGTGTACCTGTACTTGTTAGTGTACCTGTACCTGTTAGTGTACCTGTACCTGTTAGTGTACCTGTACCTGTTAGTGTACCTGTACCTGTTAGTGTACCTGTACCTGTTAGTGTACCTGTACCTGTTAGTGTACCTGTACCTGTTAGTGTACCTGTACCTGTTAGTGTACCTGTACCTGTTAGTGTACCTGTACCTGTTAGTGTACCTGTACCTGTTAGTGTACCTGTACCTGTTAGTGTACCTGTACCTGTTAGTGTACCTGTACCTGTTAGTGTACCTGTTAGTGTACCTGTACCTGTTAGTGTACCTGTACCTGTTAGTGTACCTGTACCTGTTAGTGTACCTGTTAGTGTACCTGTACCTGTGTGCACCTGTTAGTGTACCTGTACCTGTTAGTGTACCTGTACCTGTTAGTGTACCTGTACCTGTGTGTACCTGTACTTGTTATTGTACCTTTACTTGTTAGTGTACCTGTACCTGTTAGTGTACCTGTACCTGTTATTGTACCTGTACCTGTTAGTGTACCTGTACCTGTTATTGTACCTGTACCTGTTACTGTACCTGTACCTGTTAGTGTACCTGTTATTGTACCTTTACTTGTTATTGTACCTGTACCTGTTAGTGTACCTGTACCTGTTAGTGTACCTGTACCTGTTATTGTACCTGTACCTGTTAGTGTACCTGTACCTGTTATTGTACCTGTACCTGTTACTGTACCTGTACCTGTTAGTGTACCTGTTATTGTACCTTTACTTGTTATTGTACCTGTACCTGTTAGTGTACCTGTACCTGTTAGTGTACCTGTTATTGTACCTGGACCTGTTAGTGTACCTGTACCTGTTATTGTACCTGTACCTGTTAGTGTACCTGTACCTGTTAGTGTACCTGTACCTGTTAGTGTACCTGTACCTGTTATTGATCATGGTTGGATAGAGGTTGTTGTTGGTGGTACAGTAGTGAAGGGAGTCAACACTTGAGGTGTGGACGGGCGCCAAGTTAAGCGGTCTTGTTTGTTATGTCTGCCTCACTGTGTGTTCGTCCTTCACCGAGAGTTGATGAATAAATTGTTTTTGAAAACTTTGCACCAGCAATATTCACTCCCGGAAAATGGTCCGCGTTATTTCATGCTACAGTATATTTATATTCCTAATGTATAAAAGTAACAACTTTTTAGCAGTTACATCTCGAGGCGCGGAGAGAACGACGTTATCAATTTACTTGTAGTTTATTAATGGCCATTGTAAGTCCATTGTCAGTCCATATATATTTCATATAAACATTATTATAATTTTCTTATTTAATTTATTTATTTTTTATTTCAACAATGTATTCATTTCTTAAACTGATATGTTAAGGTACCTTATTCTGGAGTAACCCGATGTTATATGGTAACTCCAGGCTAATGCCAACTAATTGTAGGACCAGTACTGATTACGTGATGGTATATCGCTCTCTGATTGGCTCTTGGAAATTATATTAGCTAATCGTTTTATTTCTACTCTGCATGACATATAGAGAATAAGATATACAGGATAATAGTTTTCAGTAACGTTATATACTACAGTCTTACATGCCGTTACACGTTATCATGTTTGAGAACAACCAACTGTACACTGTAACTCATTCCTATGGCAAAGAGTGAGGAGATTTGGTGGGTAAATTGACTTGGTTAGGCGGGGTTGTGGGGCAGAGTGATCCACGTCCTCGCGGCAGGAGAGAAATACTGTAAAACATATTTGAGTTTTTTCCTTAACTTTTTTTCTCGTCTAGATTCTCAGCTTTCCAATTATCGTTCGGATGTTACCCAGTACAAGACAGACAGGCAACCGACAGATAAACAGCCACAGACAGGCAACCGACAGACAAACAGCCACAGACAGGCAACCGACAGACAAACAGCCACAGACAGGCAACCGACAGATAAACAGCCACAGACAGGCAACCGACAGACAAACAGCCGACAGGCGGCAAGGACCGACACAGACAGGCAACCGGCAGAACCGCCACAGACAGGCAGACGAACAGCCACAGACAGGCAACCGACGAAAGAAACGACACGCAGACAGGCAACCGACAGACAAACAGCCACAGACAGACAACCGACAGACAAACAGCAGACAGGCAACCGACAGACAAACAGCCACAGACAGGCAACCGACAGATAAACAGCCACAGACAGGCAACCGACAGACAAACAGCCACAGACAGGCAACCGACAGACAAACAGCCACAGACAGGCAACCGACAGACAAAAAATAGGGGGGAATAAAACAAGAATCAGACCCCACACACACACACACACACACACGCACACATACACATATGAATACACACACATACACATACACACACATACACACACATAAAAACACACACATAAACACTCCTCGCACCGACTCTACATGCTACGACGACTTAGGTCACTTGGGACACCCACGCCAGAGCTGAGGACTATCTACAACGGCTTTATTCTCCCCAAACTAACGTATGCGTCACCAGCCTGGTCGTCTTCTCTCAACTCCACCCAACAACGTCGGCTAGAGAAGGTACAGAAAAGGGCCTGCAGAATCATGTTCGGTGCAGAATACTCAGGCTACACCAACGCTCTCTCCACCCTGGAAATGCCATCCCTCAGTGACCTCCACCACCAAGCACTGGCAAGGTTTGGCAGTGAACTACTGCACCACCCTCGTTATCGCCACCTCCTGCCACCGGCAGCCCCCCACCCACCTCGCGCAGTCCGCCACTACAACAAAATTTTAGCCCATAAGAGCCCGCACCGATAGATATAAGAATAGCACCATCCCATCTATTGTTAATATAATAAACAACTCCTGATTTATGTACTGTACAGCCCTGTAAATGTATTCAACGCATATTATATCATTATGTCTAAATCAAATGTAAGTCTGTATATTTTCAGCCACCGGCTGCAACTCTATTAATAAACCGTTTATTATTATTATTATTATTACATATCAAGAAGCGCTCAACACACTGACCCTCTCGGCTCTCACTGACCATCACCACGACCTCATCTGCAAATTTTGTGAGAAGCTTCTGCACCATCCTCGACACCGGTTCCTACTACCACCCAAGATCCCTAGCCCGAGAATTACTGTTCGACACCACAACCGCATCCAGCCCATACGAGCACGAACTGATCGCTATAAGAACAGCCCAGTCCCAACCATTGTAAAAATTATCAATAACTTGTAATCAACCAGTTTATTCACTCCCAGTCGATCTTACTTTTTGCACTGTCACTATGTTGAAATGCCCTGTAATTTGAGCTTCTCCCCACCTAGTTATTATATATCATATTTATATCACTTATGTTACTGGTATATTTTTTGTAAATCAAGAGACCCATTCCCCAATTATGTAACTGTATAATTTAAGCCTACTGGTTGCCATGCTCTTTCAATAAACCGTTAATTATTATTTATTATTATTATCACACACACACACACACACACACACACACACACACACACACGAGTGTATGATTTCTTCGCAAATGATGAAAATATTGCTTCTTTCATTTCAGACTTGACTGGAGAGGCATGTCAGTGAGACACAGCACCTGAGACCTCTGCTTCGGCGCCGCCCCCCAACACGTATAACAGCCTCTGCAAACATCACCTCAGTGACCGTAGCTTCCTATCAGGAGTCACTCACGGGCTGTAACAGTGTAAGACTGGTGCCCACGCTACTGCCACCACCAAGCAGAACTAGAGGTGGTGGTGGGGAAGTAAGTGCTCCTACCACCACACACCTGAGGTCCTCACTACCACCGTCTAACTCGCTTTCATTATATGGGATAAATCATGACATTGATTGATGTACGGCGGCATTGATGTACGGCGGTATTGATGTACGGCGGCATTGATGTACGACTGTGTTGATGTACGGCGGTGGTGATGTACGGCGGTATTGATGTACGGCGGTATTGATGTACTGCGGTGGTGGTGTACGGCGGTATTGATGGCGGTGTTGATGTACGGCTGTGGTGATGTACGGCGGTATTGGTGTACGCCGGTGTTGATGTAAGGTCTTAGTAATATTTGGAGAAAGTTTGTATCACAAGTGAACGCCTGTTACCCTGGTCCAACTCTTGGTTTGATCATGGACCTGTGGGCTCCTACATTCTCCCTCCCTCACCTTGCCTCACTGCCTCTCTCTGGTGTCAGCTAATGAAAAAAAAAATGAGTTAAGGGAGAAGATGGCAAAGGATCGTGGATATAGAGGCCAGATAACATGTAAGGGCGTCTCTCCCGCCTCTTACGGATGTTACGTGTGTCAGTGTGATCTAAGGTGAAGCACCACAGCCAGCAGTGAGTTCCTCCCGTAGCTGTGTTGTGTTCCAGATAATATCATGTGTCACTGTTTACTGTGCAGTTCAATTCATTAACGAAGAACCACATCCTGTTTACAAATGGGCGAGTGGAAGTAACTCAAGGATGTTGTTATTGTGTGCTGAGACCATGACGCTATTGTGATTCACGACTCGCCTGTCTTCATGTTTTAACTATAAGTAAAATTATAAAAGATAGACTTCATTAAACATAAACATTACTGCAACAACTGGAGCAGTATCCAGGGATGACTTGCATAGGCCTGTGCGGTTGTGTTGCAAGTCGCAGCCCCATCATAGCGGGAGGCTTGTTTTACCCGGTGTAAGGCGACATTGAAAAGTTGGACGACACATC